TGCTTTTAAGCATGCTATTAAGAGCTTGGTTTCTTCTCAGAACATTCTTCCTTATTTTAGTTTGCATAAAAATGCAACTTTTTAGAATTGAATTACAAATCCCTCCAGTAAACTTTCTACTCCCAACTCTATTTCTACGTCATCTGAAAGCCTTCTGATAAAAATGTCAGCCTTTTAAAGCAGGTTCTCCCTACTTCAGCAAAGCATCATCTCACTTTATATTAATGATGCTACTTTTTGCATTCATGCACTTAATTGAAACTGGATTGAAACCATTTTTCAAGATTCGCAGAGTATAGTTTACTGAGTCTTTATTTCCTGCTCCATCCCAAAATAGTCTGCACAAATTTCCTGGTTTCTGCAGTACGGAAACACTCCATCCCAACACCTACATTTCTGGGCACCTGATTTCCAGCAAAACTTGCATTTGCGATGATGACATTTACTGTTACAGTGCTGTTGTGTTGATGAAATCCACTAGGAAGAACTACTCCAACTTTGAAGAGGTGTGAGAGCAGAACTTTTCTTTGATAAGCTTTCGGAGTCAGCTCAGATAAGCTGAAGGACAATACTGACGACGCTATTAAAATTTTCATTTGTTCTCCCATCAGAAAACTGATCAGGCACAGACACACGCTATCTACCTACATCTGGCGACTGCACCACACCAATTCAAACTGAGGAGCCACATTCAGTTTCCATATAACACTGTGGATGATGCAGAAGACTCAGATCCAAATAAACACTGCCCTTGATATTAGAAACCTGTTTTCCCAATTTAAATTATAGTATTCCCTTAAAACAGAGGTTGTCGATTAAGTACGAGAAGAAAGTGGAAACTATAATAAATAGTGTTTTGCTTTGAATACTTGTCTCTGTCATATGATTGCAGTACTGCTCTTGCAGAGTAGACTAAACTGAGCAGCCTACAGATTGTTACTCATCCCTTACTCTTTTCCTTTTTTAAGGAATATGGATTTTGTAGTAATAGCATTGCTATAGCTAGGCTAAGCAGAAGGGGCAAGGAAGAGTAATAGTTTTGGAAAAAAAAAACAGTTGGGTCAAGTAATAAACGTAGTCAGGCATATTTGGGCCTACCAGCCTTCAAAAAGGTACCTTTGATACAGCTTTAGGACAGGTACTTATTCTGTTTTCTGCCCATCAATAGACAGAGCCCATTCTGTGCTAGTAAGCCTACTTTAAAATTGTGGTTTTCTTTATGACCTACGCAAGTGAAACTAACCTCTCATTTGTAGTTGAGCCAAATATCTTTGCTGACATCTGTATCTGAAATCCCAGCAGAAAACTCTTACTGATTTTCATCCAACTGTGACAGAACGTATTCAGTGATCATACATTCTATCATCAGTATAACTGATAATATACCCTAGGTCTCTAGAGAGAAAGGGAAATTCACAATTTAGTCCTACAAATTAGAAGCAATGCAATACCTAAGTAGTTATGGTTTAGTTAATCCAGTAACTTTTGCAGTCTGTTCAAGATTGTCTGTTCAACTTGACTTCTGGCAGCTACAACTTGTTGCAGACCAGAACAGATGCGGTAAAATAAAAATAAATTAAATCCAGTAATCTATTTCCTTGAGTTGTCTTTTCAGGCAGCAAGGCTCAGAGCTAGAACAAAAATGCAAGTGAGTCACTGATAACCCATTCTTCTAATGCCTGAATCAGTATATGATGCTTTTATAGCCATGACACTCCATATTAATCCTGATCTGAAAGTTTAGAAGCTATTATGTTAGCTATATGCAATTGATGGTTCCAGTTTGTCTTTAGACACTGGAATTTATTTCATTACACCGAGTGTTATTTGCCATATACACATCCTATGGACACACCCTGTGCCAGTGATGCATTTAATTATGCCAAAAGACACACAAACAGAAGGAAAAGGTACTAGGTACTTTGAAAGAAATAGGAGTCACCCTATTGGTTGTCACCACTTTTGCTACTGTTTTAGAAGTAGTGCTATAAGGCATGTTTTTACAAGGCTGGTAGAACTGAATCCATAGATCTACCAGTCTGTTTAGGAAAACTGCCCCATGCCTATGTTTAGGATGGATTAAAAGCTAGAAGAAAGCTGACGATCAGTTGTCTCCTGACCTTGCATCAGCTGGAGTTGGAGAAAATTCCAGATAGGAGAGGTCTTTTTTTTTTTTTTTAAATTTTTGAGCAAGCTCTTTAGCAGACTGACTTCAGGAACTGCTCCAAGCATCCATTTACACCTACAACATCTGATATAGACAGAAAACACAAGCACACTGATAAGCCAGTGCAGGTGCATTGAGGCCTGACAGAGCTTACAGCTTCTCTTCATGCTGCCTGCTATCACAACGTTTTATTTCTGCATTATTATTGGATAATGTTAAGGTGGGTACTAAGAACGCCTGCCAAGACATATTAAAGGTCTATCAGCCCTTAACAAGAAACAGTATCCAAACCCTTGACTTAGAGGTTACAGGTGACACTGCACATTATGTTAACCTTGTTTTTGTCTTCTGTCTAAACTTTAGACATACTAAAATGTAATCATGAGCAGTCATGCATGATTTGAACCACTTGGCTCCCGGTATCAGTAAGTGCCCAGTATTGTAGCATAAAGACCAACCAGGGATCTCTTCACGCAAGTTCTGTGAACAAAAGAATGTGCTGCCGCCTTTGGCGGCGCAGTAATTCCCTGCAAGTTGTTAGCTTGTGCGCTGTTGAGAAAACATATTGTCACTGTTCAACCGCTCAGAAACTCTAGTCACTGTGCAGGGGAATTCTATACTGAAAGCCTTAACAAATTTTTGTTGGAGGTGGGCCAAATTCAGTTGTGCTGTTACTGGGTGCAAGCAAAGCGACTTTATCACAAGGCATGCAGGACGTCTAAGTCTTCCAAATAAATTCCTCCACACTCCCCTAAGGGATGACCTATCATCCCAGACCTTAAAATGCTTTTCCGTCCCACCTCCAGACTAGGGAAAAGGAGACGACCTTAGACATTCTCCCTCCTGTTCCCCTACAACTTAAAATGTATAGTTCTACAAAATCAGGACGTGCACATGAGGACCATCCCATGCATCATTCCCAGCTCTGACTTCTCTAGCTCAAGAATATGGAAGATGAGTTACTGAACACTTCAGGGAATCAGCATGATGTAGCAGTAAGCCCTTCACTAACTTAAGTTTTCTACATGCAGAGTCTTGATCCCTGACAAGAGGGCTTCAATGATGGAAATGCTGACAGCATTAATGATAGAAGCACTACTTCAGAAGACAGTATTAATGACAGTAATGTAAACTTCTGAAGGCTGCATTACCAAGTTTCTGTAGAAATACCAAAAAATTGTTTTCTAACCAGTTCAGTTAGGCTAACCCCTTTTAGCAGGTTCCTCACACCAAACCACTTAGGGGGCTTTGTTTGTTTTTGTTTTTTAAATCAACACCAATTCTTTGAAGGCCCCTACAATAGAACTTTTTTATGTTTCATTGATGCAAGTAGAGAGAATTTTTAGCTGCCTGAACAGTTGAAATCTGACAAGCATTTACAGAAAAGATACCCTTTGAAATTTATAGAAGAAAGCAAACAGATTTGACCAAACTTTAGGCATTCAGGAATAGCATCTAAAAATAGGTAGTGTCAGCTATGCAAGAATTTAATGAGTAGTGGCCAGTACTGCATAACAGAGATCTGTCCAATTTTTAAAGTGTCAGAGTTACTAGAGGAAGTGACTACAGGCCCTTGAGATCCAAAAATCTTATTATCTCCCTCTCCCCTCCCACTTTTAATCAAAGCACCCACATACCTAAGGAGAGAAATAAAACAGCTCACTGTGCTGAAACAAAGAGACTAAACCACCCTTTCAGATACAAGCCATAATTCAAGCATAGATTCAAAAGCACACTTTGAAAGCCTAACAGTACAACTACACAGAAGACAGACACGTACAAAGTACTTATTTGCTATCAGTTTCTCCGAAGGCTAAGATTTAATATGTATTTTACTGCACATTCTGAATCAGATCAAAGAGCATAAAGGCCCTTCAATTATCTTACTGCTCTCAACCAGTTAGAGTTAGAAACTTACAGGCATTGATATGGTTTCACAACTACCCATCTATGCTTACTTTAATTCATTACCAAAGAAAGAATCAAACTCTTCTCCTTGTACTCGTAGCCTTCCCTCACTCTTCAGACGCGAATGAAACTTTCTGTCCTATCTAAAAACTTTAAGCAAGCAAGGGATGAAACATTTTTCTATTTTCAGCACTGGCAATCAGTAGGGAAAAAAAAGTTGCTTCACAGCCTTTTGAACAAGGTTATTGCTATTAAAATAACGCTGCCTCAAGGAAAGCATTTCAACAAAAAAAATCCCCCAAGAACAAGAACTCAGAGACGACACTGTCTGTTCTGTTACTGTCAATGCAGTAACAGAAACGGAGAGAAAAGGGTCTCAGAAACTATACAAACTATTACACTGAAACTGAATTAAAAGAGATAGGTAAATCACTAACATCAAAGTGCTACAGGCACATAAAGACACACAGGTGAAGAGGCTAATAAAACTGCTGCTCTAACAACCAACGTATCTAAAATATAGTTTTAAATAAAGGTTAAAAAAAGAGACTCAGGAGAGAAGTTGCTAGCGGCTCTTTTCCTCCTGCCTTCTTTTACCCTCCTAAAGGCAGGATAAATTATTATTGTCCCTCCACATCCCCCCTCCCCCCCAAAAAAAAGAAACCCAAAACAGTCTTAAAATACTTCTGCTCTGTAGACAGCGGTTTGAGTCACGGCAAAGTTTACAAGAGGCACCAAAGCTAGTCCAGCTACAGATTTCCCCCCCCTCTGCAGATACCCCCTCCTTTTCCAAACGGAAAAGTAGGCAATAAGGAGATATGCTGAGCCCTCTGGGCAAGGGAGATGGCAATGGAAGGAAATAAATGCAGCATCTATCGGTTTGGAGAGGCACAGAGAGACACGCACGCAGACTTTTGCTCCGTACCTGGAGGGTCCATTTCAATATAAAATATCAGCTCAGTGGAATATGGCATCATCACTTCCCTCCAGTCCGTGTCATCGCGGTCCATATCCCACACCGTGTTGTACATCGCGACAGGCAAGTCCCGGCAGATTTATAAATAAGAGACTGGCTTTCTTCGCGTTTAACGAGGAAGGAGAAGAAAAAAAAAAAAACCCGAGAATAACCCACCCCGCTATAATATGACACTTCTGTCAAAAAAAAAAAAAATCTAAAAAAAAAATCTCAAAATTAAACTTAAAAAACCAGCGTACACACACGAGACACCCGAGCAGCTGCCCTGCAGGAACTCAACTGGGTAGAATTACATATATAATATAGTGTTTTTTTGTTTAAAAAGACACCTTTCCACAGAAAAGCCACTTTCTAAAAAACGCCATTTTCGGGGTATTTTTAAAACACCTAGTTTAAAACAAAACCAACCCCCCCGCCCCGCACAAAGGCGGGAGGGCGTGCGTGTGGAAAAGCGGATAAAAGGGGGCGATTTCGGTCTCTGGCTAGACTTCTTTCTGCCGGCTGAGGAGAAAGGCGGGGGGCGGCGAGCAACTGGGGAACAGCCCCACACTGACCGCTGTGTGCCCCACGCACTGGGGTACAGCCCCACACATGGACGTGGGGTGTGCCCCACACACTGAGTGGGGAACAGCCCCACACTGACCGCTGTGTGCCCCACGCACTGGGGTACAGCCCCACACATGGACGTGGGGTGTGCCCCACACACTGAGTGGGGAACAGCCCCACACTGACCGCTGTGTGCCCCACGCACTGGGGTACAGCCCCACACATGGACGTGGGGTGTGCCCCACACACTGAGTGGGGAACAGCCCCACACTGACCGCTGTGTGCCCCACGCACTGGGGTACAGCCCCACACATGGACGTGGGGTGTGCCCCACACACTGAGTGGGGAACAGCCCCACACTGACCGCTGTGTGCCCCACGCACTGGGGTACAGCCCCACACATGGACGTGGGGTGTGCCCCACACACTGAGTGGGGAACAGCCCCACACTGACCGCTGTGTGCCCCACGCACTGGGGTACAGCCCCACACATGGACGTGGGGTGTGCCCCACACACTGAGTGGGGAACAGCCCCACACTGACCGCTGTGTGCCCCACGCACTGGGGTACAGCCCCACACATGGACGTGGGGTGTGCCCCACACACTGAGTGGGGAACAGCCCCACACTGACCGCTGTGTGCCCCACGCACTGGGGTACAGCCCCACACATGGACGTGGGGTGTGCCCCACACACTGAGTGGGGAACAGCCCCACACTGACCGCTGTGTGCCCCACGCACTGGGGTACAGCCCCACACATGGACGTGGGGTGTGCCCCACACACTGAGTGGGGAACAGCCCCACACTGACCGCTGTGTGCCCCACGCACTGGGGTACAGCCCCACACATGGACGTGGGGTGTGCCCCACACACTGAGTGGGGAACAGCCCCACACTGACCGCTGTGTGCCCCACGCACTGGGGTACAGCCCCACACATGGACGTGGGGTGTGCCCCACACACTGAGTGGGGAACAGCCCCACACTGACCGCTGTGTGCCCCACGCACTGGGGTACAGCCCCACACATGGACGTGGGGTGTGCCCCACACACTGAGTGGGGAACAGCCCCACACTGACCGCTGTGTGCCCCACGCACTGGGGTACAGCCCCACACATGGACGTGGGGTGTGCCCCACACACTGAGTGGGGAACAGCCCCACACTGACCGCTGTGTGCCCCACGCACTGGGGTACAGCCCCACACATGGACTCAGGGTGCAGCCCCCCAACTGACTAGGGTGTGTGCCCCACACACTGGGTGCAGCCCACCCCCCAAACTTGGTTGGGCTGTACGACCCACACACCAACTGGGGTATAGCCCCCCAAACGACCTAGGGGGTTTCTCCCCACACGCTGACCAGGGGGTGCAACCCCCCAAATTGATTCGGGGATGCGCACCCCTTTCTGCACTAACCCCTTTCTGCTGGGTGTGCCCCCTGGTTTTGGGGTGCGCCCACTCTCCCCGCCCCCCGCTGCTGAGGGGGTGCTGTGAGGGGAGCAGCTGCCCCCGAGCCCCTATGGGGTACACCCCCTGCACGCACTGATTATGGGCTGTACCCCCCTATCATGGTGTGCGCGAGGGGTGTCCAGCCCTCCTCTCCACGCACGGGGTCCAGCCCCCCAACCCTTCCCATCCCCACTCCTAGGAGCCCCCCGGGGACGTTCAGCCCCTCTGGTGCTGCTGGGCCTGGGACACCCACGGGCGTCCCCACGGACGCCTTTCCCACCCTGCGGCTCCTGCCTCTAGCCAGGGTCCCAGGGATGGATCAGGGATGGGGCAGGTGGCAGATGTCCCGCTCGCTGAGCCCGAGGAGCATTGGCCCCGTGGCGCTCGTCCCCTCCGCCAGCACAATGAAGCCATCTTTGCTGGCAGCGCTGCCGTCTTAGTCTCCTGCTGTCGCAGCACCAACCTGAGCCAGGGACACAGTTAAATACATGTAAGCCCAGAGGAAAGCACCCCATCCCCCCTCCACACACAGACAGCAACTCAGCAGATATGCACCTGAAGCAAAACCCTTTCCTCCCTCTCTCCTGAAGCTTTTGGACTTGCAAAGTTGGAAACATCCAAAATTTCATTAATGAAGGGCTTTGCTTGCTGAGGGATGAATTTCGGCAATAGGAGCTAAGTGAGACCTGCTTCTCTCAGCGTTTCGCGTGAGCCCCCTCCAAAGGAGGACATTGCTCAGCAAAACCAGACCGCTGAGAGAAGGCAAGTTTGTGAGTAGATGGACCAGGCTTTTAAAGGTCTCACCCCCCAAAAGTAAAATTGAGGGAAGTCAGGTATCGCACGGAGCATCCCTGGGATCTGGAGCAGACGTTGCTGACCGCGAGGTGCTGTCTGGACAAGAAGCTTTGCAAGATGCACGATTCGTAACCTCTCGGGGTGAGGGATTGAAATATGATGGTCATTGAGATGATGATGGTGGCATCATGTGGCTGCCCAGCACACGCGTGGGTGAGCTGATGGGCAACAGCAGGAGGGAGAGGACGAGACCACCCTCTGTGCTGCTTGCTGCCGTGTAGATGCTCCTGTCCCGCATGATGCCTGGGGGGACACAGGCTGTCCTAAGCAACATTACTACCCCTCTGAATCTGACGTGTTTTCTATTTCGGTTATATTGTAAGAAATTAAACAGAGGATCTCCTGCCCTACCTTTGCGGCCACATTTCTGCAGTTATCTGACACCATGATTGTGCCTGTTGCATATTAAAAATAATACCACTTCATCCAACTCCGGCCACCTGAACGTTTCAAAGTGCATCATAACCATCCACTAACTAGAGCATGGCTCTCAAAAAAATGAACGCTCCCAGTTTCTAGAGACATAACCAGGGAAGAAAGCCTCCCGGGGCAAGGGCACAAAACCAAATGGCTGCTTTTAACAAACTTTGAAATACATTCTGAGCTACAAACACAACCAAAACCAAACCAGGACAAGAAGACACAACGTGCATGTGAAATCTTGATGGCCAAACCCAAAGCTGGTGCCTACAGATGCTCATGGACTAAATGCTACATGAGACAGAAACTTGGCTAGCTCAAAAGTTGGGCTCTGTGTTAGCTCAATGGAGCAACTTTAAAGAGAGGCAAAACGACAGCTGTTCAGATACTAAGGAAAAACCCTTTCCAGAGACTTCCACCACTGTCACCGACGCAAGGACGGACAAAAACTTTGATCTGCCGGAGGGATGTCAAGGAGTGTTAAAAAACCCAACACTTAAGTTTTCCATTTTTTTCTGCACTTTAAAGCATGGAAGAATAAGTTATTAATAATTTCTCCTGTTGTAGCTCAAGGTAGAAAGCTGCTGAAAACCTACTCCTGGCTTAGGTGAACCAGAGGGTGACTGAGGGTGATTCACGGAGTGAATAACTGAAAGCCTACACCCAGCTTAAGAATATGTGGGAAGAGCTAGGCTCAGAGAATCTGAAGTTTGCTGATATATCTCAAATAACTTCCATAGCAAGTAATTGAAAGCAAGCGCTGCTCCAGTAATAGAACTCCTTGAGGGACAGACAGCTGCATAGGAGCACAGGGCTTTGATGCAAATAACTCACTGTAGATAAATTAATTTTATATCCCCATCCACAAACTCTGATTAATCCACGATAACCAGATATGAATCCTTTTTCTAATTTTAAAATTAAATTTCTTGGGCTAACATAATATATCAGCTCAAGCTCGTTCAAAGGAAAATGCCCTCCCCGGAAACCCAGCGCCCCAGTGAAATGTAATTCCCCCGGTGCACAGAAGGTGCCCAGGGGGCAGGTCTGCAAAGCTTCAAAATGCAGGCTGGGCCAGGGTGGTGGGTGCAGGTGGAGATGCGCATGCTGCTCTGCAGACCCTGCGGGGTGGAGAAAAGAGGCTAGTCCACCCCCAAACTTTGATTAGCAGCTCCGAAGGGGGGAGGACGGAGGAGGGAGTCTTGGGTTGAAATTCATTTTCCCCCTTCCTGCACCTCATTATAATAAGTTCCACCGACATAAGACCTAATTACTCGGCTTTTATGCTGGCAAAGTGGATTTCATTCTTGCTGTTTCCCATGATGGTTGCCTTCATTTTCATGGCGGCACTGATGGTTACAGCTTATTGATGTTTTCACTTTAGTGATTTAAAGCAGAATACATTTTGTTATTAGCACTGGTTTCTCTCATTGCTGCTTTAATCAAAGATGCAATTTAAGGCAAAGGATTGTGTGTAATGGTAAACAGTAGGATAATGCCTTGAGAGAACAGAATATTAATGTGTTTTTATTTCTCAAAACTGTGCTTATAATATATCCAGGATTACTTGGCTCCCAACACACACGCGTGGGGCACTCCTTTCCTCCTTACACTGCCTGCCTTTCAATAAGGGCAGTGCGACTGCGTGCATGTGCGTGCTGGGGGGAGAGGGAGCCACATGTGCTGCCTCGCGCACAGCAAATTCCCTCTGCTCGTGTGCCTCTCCTCCACATGCACAAAGGACGAGGATGCTGCCTTGCAAAAGTGTCCTCTGAGAAAAGAAACAAAATACCGAGCGCGCTAACGCTCAGGGATGGTCAGGGTCTGGCTGAACGCTAGCGCTGTGCATAATCCCAAGTCAGGAAAAACTAGACTGAACCAATGAAAATAAAATAACAGTAATGATGATGATGCTTGGCCACGGGGCACAGTGCTAGAGAAAGCGCAGCTCCCTAGCGCGGAGGAAACTTGCTCCGGCAACGTCGTTCTCTTGCACGGTCCTGTGTACTGTCCTCACCCTTAAGGTGAGCCTCTGTAACGTGGTCCCTGTATCCCATGCTGAGGGAGAGTGACAGCTCGTACAGCTATACGGACAGCGCTCGCCATCAGATCTGCACTATTAAGTGAGCCTAAAAGGCAAGAAATGAGCACAGTGTGTGCTGTTTCTATGATGCATCTTACGTTCCAGTGTCAACTGCCATAAGTTCTCTCTCTTTCATTTCCTTGGATCTGACAATTTGCATTTCAAGGCAAGAT